TTCAAAATAGTATTTTTTTAGTATTTCCTTAACTACCTAAAACCGTTTATTTACCCAAAAATTAACAGTTATAGAGAGTCTAATGTTAGTTTAAATTATTTATTCCGGTGATTGCCCGAATATAGAACCAGAAACCCGAATAAATGATTCGGGTGCAAAACCCCTGATTGTGGAATAGAAATTCTACGCATCTAGTTACTAAGGGTGACCACTATGACAACAACATCCAACCAATTGGAAAACAATTGTAGCCTATAGGTATCTAATTTTAGATGTTAGTCTTATCATTACACCATGTATGTCTTTAATGACTCAACATCACAAATCAAATAATTTATTTAAACGTTACAAGTAGGAAGTTCCAATCAGTACTTTTCTTGATAATTGGGAGCACCCAACAAAAAACTACAGGAGAAAGAGAATATCTATGCAACAGTGCAACACCATTTTTTAACAAAATTGATTTTGTTTTCTTCTTGTAATTACGAAAGAAATAACCATAGGGACTTGACATTTTTCCCAAGAACCTACATCAACATTTTCCAGACATGTTAAAATTTACAAAATATTTCCGCTTTATTTGACAAATTATTGTCTAGTCATAAATGTCTATATTTTATTATAAAACTATGGTGACTGCAAGTGGGTGTCTCGAATTTTGTCGGACTCAAGGCTCAAGCGCCTCAAGCCTTCAAAGGTAAGAAAATGTTCACCACGCCCACTACTGGGCGGGTATATAATATTATAAGTTATAACTGTGTCTCAACTACTGACATGACGCCCCTAAGAAACATGTGGGCGACGGGCGTGTTAAGGCTGTTGAAAGCAAATCATTTTTAAAGGGTAGAATTTAGGCAATAATCTCTATCCTTCGTCAGTCATGTGTGACTGTGTGTGTAATGACTTTGTGAATTTCTAACCTAAAATAATTTGCAAATTTTCGGGATTTTTAAGTATTTTGTCGAAATTTGAAATTCAGACGCACATATAAAATTATTGTGGACTAACGCTCAACTTTTTTTTTTGATTTCCACTAATCACAACATTTATGAGGAACCTCGTACTATATTTTCAAATTTTTTTTTCAGCTTGTCCTTTTTTTTAGAGTTACGCTAAAAACCAAAACCGATTTTTTCAAAAACTGTTTTCTTTTTATGAAAATTAAATTTAAAACATTTTGGAGGGGGTAGGGGTACACATAATATTGTATATTATTTAAACAAAACTTGAATAAACTAAGGGGTGCTTCTTGCCGATCTCCTGATAATAGGTGTAACGATATTTAGGTTAATAAGGCCGATCAAAATATAGATTTGTCTAGCCAATTTCCTGATTTTGTTCTCATACCTAATTTTCGTACAACTTGATACACAGTTGTCAATGGTTGTTAATGTTGTATTACATGTGACAGAAATAATTATTTATCAAATATATCCGTTTTTAATATTAATAGTAAATAAAAAATGATGTGATTTCTAATTAAATCTTACATTTTTTAACAATTACCTCACACAGCAGCATATTTTTTATGAAAATAAAATGGCATACGAGTAGAGAGTGTAAAAAAATGTCAACGTTCTTATTACTATATATGATAGTGCAGTAGTGAACGTACGCATTAACTCCGTGTGATGCGTAGACGTATTAAAAAAAAAAAAAACAGAATGTGAAGTTAATAAATAAATAACTGATTAGTGAATTAGTCTTAAAATATTTGAACTTGTAAGTACTAGCCTAAGAATAATTTAAGCATTGTGCACAATAATAATGTAACACTCGCCGAACGTAAAATAAATATACCTACATACACAAGTATGTATATGTATATATATATATTTAGTTATTACCTAATAAGTTGTACGCCGGTAGTCTGGGTAGTCATGCTATTATAGTTGCCAATAGATAATAGAAAATCATTGTTAATTTGTCTCACACGGTTATTCATAACTCTGAGTGTACGCTCTTATACACGATGTTTGATTTTGAGTACGAAGAAATTCGATCAATTTGTCGTATTACAAGCGGTTTAATGACTATTAAATGTTCTCTCGATGATCTCGAAACTAGTACATTTGAAGTCTTGCGATAGATCGATACGATTTAACAGCATACGATGTCCGTCTTGAATGGTCGACTTTATAACTATATAGGTAATGTATTTTCAGATTGATACACCATTTAGATACTAGACATTGAAATTGATTCGGTTTCTAAAAATAAATGTCGCTTATACTTTTCCGGTAGATCGAGGACGATAGGACGAATGATAGAATGTTTCCTTATAAGTGATAAGTCTGAACATGCATTTTGAGAAAATTGACAGGAATATTCAAAAAACAAGATGATGTTAATATAATGTGAATCATAGTATCGAATTCGTTAGTCGGATCGAGTACCAAGTTTAAAAATTCGCGATCCCTAAAGTCTACGATTAAATTACTGGATTCGATGAGATTTGCTGGCGGAGATAGCGCGTGAGTTCCTCGGACGCCTTATGTAATTAAAGATTAACTATGGCTAAGATTCTTAGAAAACAGTACCGTACCTACGTGCAGTCACACGCCAATATATTTCGCGATCAAAAAAGTTTCAACATGAAAGTCCCGAAAAGTGGAAGAAAAATTCATCCAGTTCCAAAAGCCCGATTTTAATTTTGAAAACATATTTGAATTCCTTATTTTCTTTTCTAGGTTATATAATAAATGGAATTTCAATTTGTTTGTATTGTTTAATTAGTGTAGTACCAAATGAATTTTCTTTTTTTTTAAATTCACCTTTTCTTTAGTGAAACAAAAAAAAATCGAAAATCCATTTATTACATAACCTAAATAAGGAATTCAAATATTTTTCCAAAACTATAATTGGACTTCTGGTGGTATATATTTCCTTCCGCTTATTGATCTAAATGCACGAAAAAACGACGAAATAACGACCGCTTTCAACATCATTTACATGGAAAATGGGAAGTTTCAGGATCAGGAGATTAAAGTCAGCAATATTGTAAAAAATACCACTCAAAAAAATAATTTCCGTACTTTAAAAAAAAATGAAATGTGCAAATATAAAAAAATAAGTGTTTACAACTCTCGCTGTAATTACATAGATAAGTAAATGTGTTAGAATTGTTGGATAAGTAAAAATTGTATGGTTTATTGTAATTATTGGACATATATATGATTGTCTTTTTTGTTATAGTAGCTCCACTGATAATCAATACATTGATAAATTTCAACATTTAACACTTTGTCCTAGTTGTTCCTAATTATTGAAACCATTACTCATTGGTGCGTGAAACCAAAATTTGAAAAAGTTTATGTAAAACCACATTGCACTATCCTTCTTTGAATATTTGAGTAGGTACTTAGGCCTGGTTGCATGAACAATCACTGAACATTTAAAGAATCATTAGTAGGCTAATGGTCCCTTAAACATGATTTAGTAGCCCATAGTGATTAGTCTATTAAATTCTATTGAACCATTAAATAAATACATTTATCATGCAACCATGCATTATAATTTACAATTTATTATTACAATAAGCAATATTGAAACCTTTGAAACACATTAAATACTTATTCAAATTTAAAAAAATTGTTAAAAACAAAATTCAAGACAGACATAAATTTCTGTACAAAAATCAAGTTTTTATTAAAATATCATTAAAAAGACTTGATTCTGAAATATTTTAAACTGTATTCAATATAAAATGTATTTGAATACTTTATTACTTAAATAATGTACAACAGACTTATACGCTATAAATTTAATTTATAGGTCTATGATTACAACAATATATTTACTGAGGCGGTGGTAACTGCTATAATTCTCAAAAATGAATACAAACAATATTATAACAATTGAATGATCAGAATTTAGTCAAAAATAGGAAACAAAAAATGTATAAAATCAACCATCCATTTTTTACTGATTTTAGCATGTGATTACAATTGTTTTAAATACTATAATATGAGAATACGACATGTATGACATAATATGATTTGGTGAAACTAAACTAGGCTAGTTTAAATATATTGCAATGTTTATTTTATATTTTATAACAATTATCAAATATTATAATATGCTTTAAAACATTAGTTTGAACCAGCTACTTAAAAATTAATTTTTTTTAAATTTACGGTTTGTACAATGTTAGTATATTTCTATGTAATCATAAATGTGATACAAATTTAGAACAAAAATAATAACTAACAGCCTAACATATTATATTATTAATAATACATAATATAAAAGCTTAGATATAATTAAAAATAACAATGGACAAAAAATTGTTTAGTCTACACTTCAAGTATTTTGTAATTATAAGTATGCAAAATAATATTTTTGAATAGCAACTTTTAATACATAAAAAAAAAATAACGAAACTAGCTAGTTATCAACACATAAGGACATTTTATCAAAAAACAGAAATTATACCAATATTAAGCATTGTAAATAATAAATTTAAAATATTGGATTGACCTAGCATGCAATACAAATAATAACAATTTTATATGAAGTAAATTCATATTAAATCTAAAAACCTAAATTGAATTTAATGTAAAACTATGACATTTTCAGTAATGAATAGCTATGAATAGCTATGAATGAATTATTAAATGTATACCTATAATTGAAACCATTTATTTTATGTTCATTGCAAATCCAAATTTAGAGTTCAAATTTTATTTTGTCCAACACTTATGATTTTTTAGATTTATTTTAAGTTATTAAATTAAGAAATTACATCAGACACAGTGCATGTTGATAAATTACAGTAGTCAATGGGTTACATACACCTTTTTTAGCAATTTTTTTTTAAATTAATTAAAGAAAACACACAATATCAACTGTGGCAATCAAATCAATTTATAAATAATTATTTTTTATTTTGTTCACAATAATCTGTAAATATTTTCAAGACGATGTTTCATATAAAAAAAATATATAACAAACAAAATCATGATTTTCCTTAAAATGTTAATTTTAAAATTTGTACCAAATAAGATACTATTTAAATATTAACCTACCTCATACATAATAAATACGTACAAAATTAGACATTAATAGAAATTTAAATCTAATAACCAAACTTTTGCTTTTTTAGTCTTCTTTTAGATTTTTGGAGTTCTCCATCTGATACATCAGAATTTTCTGACCCCGATACATCTAAAGCTAATTCACTAGATTCCATAGCATAATTGCCAGTTGCCTTAGCTCTCTCTAACGTTCTAATCTGAGATTCCAAAATATTATTCTGCCGCTTGAGATCATCAATATCTTGTTGGTGGGAAACATTTTTGCGTCTCATAAATTGTATGTAATCAGCTGCTTTTTTTAATATCTGTGCACGGCTAGCAACTTTTTCACCTTGTAGTGATGGAACTGAATCTCTGAGACTTGTAAAGCTGTCTTTGATATGGTCACGTCTTTTGCGTTCCAAAGCATTATGGTGTGCACGCTTTTCTGCTGTCTCTAACTCAACATCACGGTCATCATCACTCATCTTGAGTTTATGTATTCAATATACTCTTTTGGAGCAAAATCTAAATAAAACAAATCCTAATTAATATAAAAATATGTACCTAATAAATAAATGAATAAAGGTAACCCCACAAGGGGGTGCCATAGCCCCATCCCCCACTAAAATGTTGGTATTAATTATTTTATCATTTGAATTATAAAATAATAATATATGCTGCTGTATTATCAGATTTTTGACATTGCCAGGCCGTCTCGCCCTTGCATATATTTGTTGAATGAATAGCGTTTTGTGAAGTATTAATACTCAATACTACATGATCATTTTATGGAGGGAAAGTAAAATATTTCACCATATAAAACTAAGTATAAATAATAAATATACAAATAATCAGAAACCATTTCATTATGTTAGAAAACGTTTTAACAAAAATATATCTATAATATTGTATAATTTAACAATGTTATGGTAAAGAACTAAAAATAACTTTATTTGGTGATCATAATATCATATTATTACTTATCAGTTAGCATGTATCTTCATAGTATTATGATAATATAATAGATTTAGGATTGTTTAATTATATATTTAGTATGATTCGGTTATACCCTGTACTAATTTCTGTATTTTTTCTTTCTAATCACGAATGAATAAATCGTAAAATGCGACGGGACACAATATGCGAATATCAATAAACGCAGTTGTAGGTATGTATGAAAATGAATCACGTAATCAAAACATACATTCATAATACATAAACATAAACACGTAAGATAAAAGTAAGTAATCGTTTTTCTTTTATAAATTATAATAACCCTGCTATCAGCTATGGTGAAGATGCACAGAGGTTTTTGGACAACAACACAATATATAGGTCAAAGTTTTATTTCCTCTCAGCGATAAACGATTACGACAATAAAAACGATTAAGCAATACTGTGGCACGGTAACGTATCAAGCCCATGATGTATGTGTCTTCCAATTGTCATTGGCATTGAAACACGCAAGTACACAACAAATGAAAAAATTCAACAAACACTTACATCAGTATTGTCACCGACGAGGCCGCTGCGGTCGAACGATACTGATTATCCACTGGAAAGCCGTGCTGTAGACTGCTACGCTATTCGAAAAACTGGCGAAAACGACGAGAAATATTGAAAATGATTCGGTTTTGAGTTGTAAATAAATAAAAGTACTAAAAAATATCGCATTTAATTTTAATCAACAAACATTGTTCTTATCATAATATCATCATACAAAAGAGCAACCAGATTACCGCATTGTGTATCAACATCTTACCGGGCTGACCACATTGGAGGTGTATTTAATACATTTCGGTCTTTCCGTTTTTTCGTTTTCGACTTGTTGTCGCCACTGGGCACTGAACCAGCGCGGAATGTGAACAATACCAACCGCTGTCCCCTAGGTACTGAAGGCCGAACCGCTCGACTGCTCGAGCCCGTCAAAATAATGATTATGAATTTAACGGTCGTTTACTCGTTAGTCGTGTTTCAAAATCTCACAAATTTTAAATTAAGTATCTTATTAAATTAGTTTATGATCAACACCAAAGTAAGTACACACCGATAACATTATTCATTTGGAACATATAAAGTTAAATTATGATATTGAAATATCCATTTTATACTTAGTGTTCACATTCAATATATTCATATATATTTAAATATTGTTATGACGTAGTCATCCTATACTGCTATATCTCGACAACAAGGAAAAACAAGTTTGGTATTGTTTAAGTATGACAAGATAGGAATGGCAACCATAATTTTCCAAGCATTTGAATGCATATTTTTAAAATGTATGCAAAAATTGGTTACCTTTACATATTCTACAATATTTGTATGCATAATAATACAGGACCTATTGATTATTATTACTGCTTCTGAATGCCTTAATGTAGATTTCATTCTCTATGATATTTACTTAGTAAGCTACCAATACAATTGTAACTTAGTATAATTATAAAAGTATAAACCTATATACATATCTGTAACTAGGGGGTGCTTGAGTGGGCTTCAGCCCTCCGCAGAATTTCTTAACTCTGTGAGGGCAATTATGTTCCCACAGGTACTTTATTTTGCTGTAAAACATTTTTAGAACCCCAGCTCCCACCCCTCCTGACTTGTAGAATTAAATACATCTATGTATGTATAACAAAATGTATTTATGATGTATAAACAATTCCAATTATATTTGATGTTATGTATTAAAATAGAATGAAGAGAGTTGGGAATCAACCAGCTAAAATTCAAAAGAAGTATAGAGTAGAAGATGATGCGAAAGATCCTATTCAAGTTTATTGTCGAATACGCCCTGTACAATCCAATTTAGAATCGTCATGTATCAAAGTTGTATCTGACACTGAAATACAAATATATTGCTCACCAGATGAAAGAGGCATTTCTAGAGAAGGACAATTCAGTTACAAGAAAATATTTACTGAATATGAGTCCCAAGAAGTCGTCTTTCAAGATATGGCATTGCCGCTCATTGAACAACTTTTGACAGGAAAGAATAGTTTAATATTTGCATATGGAATATCAGGTAGTGGCAAATCATAAACAATGACTGGTAACCAAGAAGATGGTGGTATTGTTGGAAGATGCTTTGATGTCATATTCAATTCTATTCAAAATTACCAAGCTAGAAGATTTACTTTTAAACCCGATAAACTTAATGGATTTGATGTACATAGTATGGAAGACGTTTTGTTTTATTCGTCTGAGGAATTCAAAAACAATGTTAAAAACCCTATAAAAACAACAAAAAAGTAAGATTTATTAAATTAGTTTCATATCTTGAAAAATATTTAATATATATAACAATTTAAATAATAATTCTAGAAGAGATGGAGATGCAGATCGTATACCATTTAATTATAAAGTTACAGATATAGAACAAGATGTAGCATATTCAGTGTTTATAAGCTATGTAGAAATATATCATAATTATGTTTATGATCTTTTAGAAGATGTATCTGAAGGAGAAATAAGACGGTAAGTAATAATAAATTTTATATCTATAATTAATTTTAATTTATCTGGCTATTTAATAGAAACAGTAAAATAATAAGAGAAGATGCTAATGGAAATATGTATGTGCATGGAGTAAATGAACAAGAAGTAAATAATGCAGTTGAAGCTTTTGAATGGTTAAGAAAAGGACAATTAAGAAAGCGTACTGCGCCAACCTTTTTGAACATGGACTCCAGTCGCAGTCATACAGTTTTTACTATTAGAGTTGTACAAGTGAGTTATTTAAAAAATATATATATATTAAAATAATATTTTGTTAAATGTAAATTCAGAATATTAATTGTTTGCACCTTTGTAGTGTATAAAAAATATTACTGTGTTTCTATAAATATTATGTATGATATATTTACGTGTAAATCAATATTCATTTATAATTTAAACTATGAATTTATTTTAATAGGCACCTTTAGATACTGATGGTGTAAGTATTATTCAAGATAAGAAGTATACAGTTGTAAGTCAACTGTCTCTAGTTGATTTAGCTGGAAGCGAACGAGCTGGGAAAGCAAAGACAACTGGACAAAGACTTCAAGAAGCTGGTAAGAATTTTTTATTATTTTATGTTATACATAATTTTGATTTTACATTTTTATAGGAGAAATAAATAAGTCACTATCAAATTTAAAACAATGTCTTAAAATATTATATGAAAATCAGTCTTCTAGCAATTTAAGGAATATTGCTGAGAAAATCCCATACAGAACATCTCGTCTTACACATCTGTTCAAAAGTTTCTTTGAAGGTTCTGGTTCAATCAGAATGTTGATTTGTGTTAACCCTACATCTGAATACACAGAGCTTTTGGTAAATAAAAAGCAAATTAATTTTTTTAAATATATATTTAAATAATTTTATTATCAACATGCAGCCTGTATTACAATTTGGTGAAATGTCTGGAAGTGTTCAAGTCAAACGAACAACCCCGTTACGTATGGATATAGGTTTGACTCCAGGAAGAAGAAAAGTTATTGATGTATGTGATAATGCTTAATGTTAATTCTAAGATATCTGTTCCTAATATAAGCACAATTTTAGATTCAATCTGTGAACCGCATCCCGTGTGTAATTGAAGAAGATACTAGATTTCCACAGGACAATAAAATTAATTATGAATCAAAAGAAAACTGTTTTGGAAGGTAATTTCAATTAATTGTGTGTTTATAAAAAATGACTTATGTATTTATTTTTTAGTTATTTTAATTTGGGACCTCCGTTGCCAGATTTAGAAGTAGATGATTTACTAGATGATGAGAAGAGACAACAACTATGTACTGCTCTTGATCAGAGAATTAAAAAAAAGGATGAACTTCGTGAAATATTGATAAATCAAAGTATGATCAAATTTATATTTATCTACCTATTACTTTTTATTAATTTGTTTTTTATTTTAAAAATATATAAATATTTAAAATGATAAAAAAAATAGCATTGATTCTTTCTTTTTGCAGGTAATGATATTCGATCACAAATAATATTTCTAGAGACCAATTATGCTGGTGCCAAACAAGAAATAAATTCTTTGCAAATTCTGAGAGACCAAGATACCAACAAAGTATTAATAACCAAACTTATTTTTAACACTGGTGATTATTACTAATAATATGTTTGTTTTTTTTATGTAGGTTAAGCAATATCAAAATAAATCATTTTTGTTAGAAAATGAAATGGCATCGTTAAAAAGAAAATTAGAATTTATGGATAATGAAAATAAAAGATTAAAATCAGATGTAAGTTCTAAAAAAATACTTAACTAAGACTATAAATTGACCTAACCTATTAACTGTAGAGGCGTAAATTAGATCCGGTCTTGCTGTGTTTTATTCTCATATCATACCTCTTGCCTCAAAAAAGTTCATCAATTATTTCTGTTAATTTTTTTAATATCTAGTTAAATGCAAAAGATAACATGCTGAATCAAGTATCAGTAGATAAAGATCTATTAAAACAAAAGTATAATACAAAAATTGTTAAAAAACAAGAACAGTTATCCAGAGAGTTCAAGGATAAATGGAAGGTTCAAGAAAATGAGTTTGAGGTTTGTATAGTATTTTTTATTGTTAATTAACATTTTAAACTTAAATACCCACAGTTCAATTCATTAGTTTATACAAAGATTTTTGTCTAGTTTTTAAATATACAAATCGCTAATTGTCTCCCAATTTTAAATGAATACCCTTATACAGAAATTGAATAACGCTGGTTAATAATTATTGGTGTTAAAGCCAATTAATTAAGTGGTAAAAATTGAGGCTATTTCAAGTTCTGTTGTGTGGCGGCTATATAATAGACTGTAGGAACTTCTGAAAGTAAAATCATACCATTTCGGCAATCAAAAATACATCTCATTACCTGGCATGTTTTGATAATAAAAAAAAATTATTTAAAACGAAAAATTTATTCAGGTTGCATTGAACTCTGATTTTGAAAGTAGCTTTAAATAACCCCAGAAAAATTTTTGTACATTTGTGATTATTTTGACATCTATTACAAACTGAAAATAGTTTTAAAATTTGATTCACTGATGCAACACCTGTATAAAGTTTTCATCTTTCAACCAAAATGTGCATACATATTTCAAGAGGTGCACTTTTTCAGTGAGTCAATATTGTCTAGTAAAAACGGTTTGGTTCCTATTCCCTTAACTTATTAAAATTTCATTCCTAAATTTATTTTTATTTATATATATTTGATTTTTAGGCAAAGTTACAAGATAAGAAACGCAAATTAAGACACATCAAAAATATAGTGGAAAGCACAGAAAATATTCCTGGCCATTTTTCCAGGCGTATTGTAAAAAGAACCCTGTCTGATGAAAGCTTAAACAAAATACAGCCAGTTGTAAACAATGATAAACCCTCCGATTCAAAACAAAATGAGGTAACTAAACTATTGTAAATAATTGTTCACAGTTGTCCTCATAGAACATTATAATTATTTAATATTTAGCCATCACAAGCAACACTAAGATACTTACGTTCAAGACGATCTAAATCATGTGACCCACATGAACGTTGGATCGAACACAAACCTCCAGTGCCTACTGCTTTGCAAACTATCATGCAACCCAAGCTGAAGAAGCGCAAATCCGTAACCAAGTTGACAGATGCCAAAACAGTATCAAACAATGGTGCATCAAAATATTGTTTATTGACACAGGGATCAGATGAACAAGGCATTCCAGAAGCTAAACTATATAAAGTACTTAATACCAATTTTAATAATAAAAGTTGTCAATTAAACTAATATAAATAATTTTGTTAGGCTGATATTATACAAACCATGGGTGGAGGTGCTCAAGTGGTGTTTAATGATGTTGAAACACTGAAACAGGATTCGCCTCTGGGTGGATCCCCGGTGAAAAATCGTATCCAGGCATATAATAATGAACTAAAGGCTCATAGAGGCGGTCCAGCTGATGATATACAAGCAAAATGTTATGGAATACAAGGAGGGTATACTCCTTCAAGAAAATAATTTAATAAAATATTATTATCCCCATTACAAAGAAAAATATATTAAATGTATAGAGAATTGGCTAACGTATGTGATATCAATTTTAAATTACTTTTTCTATTATTATTTTATATATATTTAAATGTAGATTGTACATAACATTACTTTAAGAGTTTTATGTAACTTACTATTTGTAAACAGATCAGAACAGGAAATTGATATAGCTTAATTTGACACTGTAAGGAATCAATTCCATACGAAATGCCATCTCAATAATAGTTTCAGTTCTACTTCTATGTCAAGTATGATTTGCTATTTATACATTTGAATGTTAACTTTTTTATTCACTATTCAAATTGTTTTTTGTTTATTTTTTTTTAAATTTTTGTACTATAGTTTTTTGGCATTGTATAACTATTATTAATAACTAAGTTTTGCCTGCAGAAATGTAGTGACTAGATAAAAAAATTTTTATAATATATCATACTACATTTTGTGTTTTAAATTAGTGTTTCACAACTCAATAAGTATTGTTTTTTCTTGAATTTTTTTCCAAGTAAATATTAATACTAGCTGACCCGGCAATGCTTCGCTATTGCAAGATTTCCCAGATATTAAATTAGTATTTATTTTCTGGATGTTAAATAATTATTTTTAGTTACATCTCCATGGTAATTTATCCATAGAAATTTAGCTTCGCCACCGCGGATTCTTCAAAATATTGAAAAAAAATTATATCGTCTTTTTTTGGTTACCAAGGTTATTAATAATAATATAATTTTAAAATGTTCATAGTTATCTCTCTTGTTTTAAGAGATACAAAATAGAACTTTTAATTTTCAATTTTGACCTTTCAAGAGTCCAACTAAATATAATTTTCTACCAGAAACCTCGATTGATTGATTATAAATACTAATAATAGATACTCAGATAAAATTATTTGTTTTTTTTTTTTTAACTTAATAATTATAATAATTGTTTATTATTCCACATCAATACCGACCTGCGTAGAAGCATCTGTGGTTGTCGAGTTTCATTGTTATTTATTTTCAGCCAGCAAATATTTCTTACTAAAAAAGGTAATGGTGTACAATTTACACGATTATTTTAATTATTTATTAACTTTATCGAACTAAATGTATGCCTAAAAACCTTATCTGTGATGTCCTTTTTAATTTTAAAAAAACTGCACGACTATTGAATAAGTCATTTGGGAGTTTATCCCGAACAAAAGAAAGCGACTTTATTTTATTTTCAATCCGTGCTCTTGGTGCTCTCGGCATGATGATGAATTGGCCACTTACCTGAAATTTAACTCTATTAGCAATCCCAATAAACCTTCATAAATATAATCAACAAAATTTTATCAAACTAAGCACAAACTATCATAGATAATATTACCTATGCAAACTATGCACTAACAATAAAAATTGTTGCCGGATAAAGCGAGAGATTTTGGCTGTTATTTATTTTCAGCCAGCGACTATTTCTTACTAAAAAAGTATAGGTATACAATTTACACGTAAATTTTAATTAACAATAACTATACTTATTTTTTGTTGAGAAAAGTGATGTTATAACCTTCAGCAGTGTCGGGTATAACTAAAAAATTTCAGCCAAATTGGTTCAGTAGTTTTCTCGGTAAGAGCGGTCATAGAAAACCCCTTACAATTTTATGTAATATTATAGATATTATATTTTTTAACTTTACTTCACATCTAGGGAAAGGTAAAGTATGGGAAGCAATACTTAGATGTATTTTATCTTATTTCTTGTGTTACAACTTACAATTGAGGCCGATGTACCGATGTTGAGTGCTGAATGTCAAAATGTGAAAAAGGAACATTTTAAACACTATTTTCTGTATATGTATTTTAATCACAAAAACAAATTTATTGTAACTAACATCAAATATCGACAGAACAGGTTTGTACAGTACACGATAATGATATTGTTTCAAATAGTATATAATATACAATTTTAACTTAACCTAGTCCTAAAGATTTGTTTATCGTCATCCGTATATTTTAGAACTATTATTAAATGAAAATGTATACCATATTAAAATAAGTTTAAATTAAGTACAATGATAAAAAAAAACAAGATGGTTCTATTAACAATATAAAGTTTTCTTCCATTAAACACCATACAATTAATGATAAAAATTAAATTCTACCGTAATTTGAAATACATACATTTTTATATAATATAACAGACCATAGTTGAACAACTATGGTAACACCCGTGTTAAGGAATAAATTAACAATAGATATCGTAAGCTAATAATAATAATATATTGTGAGGCCGGTTTTCATAGAAAACGACAAGACTAGAATCACAGACGGGCAAGGAAAATAAAATAATATCTAAGGTATACACAGAAATGTATAGGTATATAATAATATTAAATAGCTAATTTAATATCCTTAACTTAATTTTGTTTTATTGTAATGTACTTTTTTTTTTCGATTTTTAATGAAAAGACGGGTTGTTTGGTCCCTAAGCATTAAAACATAGATAAAATCAATTTTTTTTTTGTTTATATGTTATCTTTACATGTAACGGTCAATTTGTTTTGAGCGCAAGTTTAGTGTATTACATTTGTTAAATATTTTCTATGACAATTGAAGAAATATGAAATGGGTTCACATTTTTATGTATTATTATTTTTTGAACAAAGAAGTAGTAAGGGTGAACCCTTGATTAGTAAAATTACTATCCGTAGACAAAGAAATTAACAAGAAATATATTATATAATATATATACAGTTATTGTATAAGATGAACTCCCAGGTCACAAAACACAAGGTCAGTTTCTAATCGACATTTTTTTTTTTTTAATTCGGATTCCTTTACACACAGTTGTGACTTTAATTTTAGGAATAATTTTCCAAATTACTACCACCTTGTTTACAATTTCAAAAAAAAATACATCGATTAAAAACTGATGTACTTATATAATATATGCTATCATGTTATCGCCACTTTCTGGGATGTTACTTTGAAACTGTGTATATACAAAAATAAATTAATTTCAGGATCTCAATCAGGTACAATATAGAAAAAGAAAAAAAAAGGATAAAAATAATTGGTATTAAATAATTTAGCTATTCAATTACAAATTTAAATGTATATATCAGTGCCGGTGTTATAGCATCATTCTTGAAAACTTTAAATTAAATACTCTTTCATTGCGTGCAAAAACTAAAGAGAATAAAATTGATTTTAAATTGATTTGTGTACTAGGCAGCTGGCAAGAATAATCGTGGACGGAACGAGCGTCGCACTCATATTTTAATACAAAGTATAGTAATATATTTACAATACACTAACACATGTGTCATTATTGAAAGAGATGAAGAATACTAAAAAAAGTATAAAAAATTATTCGATTCGCAAAGGCTAATAAAAAAACTATAAAACATAAAAAAAACAATAGAAATTAGTTAACGACAGTAAAGAAGACTTTGTACCACTAGCGACGGGTACAAAATAAAATATAATAAATCTATTTAACTGAAGAGAAACATAGACGTGCAACTCAGAAGATAAGCAGAAGAAACACATTTATGCAACATATGAACACAATAAAAGTTATATAGTAAAAAGAATTAAAACAAATGAGAAGAAGTGAAAATATTCAAAGAAAATAAAGTTATAAACTTAATTTTTTCAGTCAACTGAATTTTAAAAAAACATAATTGATACGTTATTAATTATAAACAATAATAATGAAAAATGGTAATAATAATAGTAGCAATAATACTCAATTGAAATCTATGCTGCTCAAGTATGAGAAGAAAATAATTATATATTTGAGCTTGGTAAAATTTGAGAATCAGCAGCTAATGAAATGTATACATATGAAACTTAATGAGATATTATCAAATTATTGACTAACAATTATCCATGTTAAACAACTGTTACTCAATTAGTATTGCACTCCGAATGAAGAAAAAGGCATTGATTATAAAAAAGCTCATACTATTTATGATCAAAGATAATGTTAACAGAAAATGTCTCAATTCCTCTGTAAAACTAATACTATAATACAATTGGTTTGAAATTGTTTGCTCCCCTCCCTTCATTATTAGCTTGCAGTAAAATTAAAATTAACTCTACAAGCTATAACAAGGAATCTTACAGATAAAATTACATTTAGTATAATCTAAATGAAATGTTTAGGAGGAGGAGGTGTTTTATATGGCGACTGATTGGGCGAACTATCACCCAAGTCTAATCTCAACTCAACTTCGGGGCCAAGAATTGGACATATGTTTAACTGGTCCAAAGAAAGTGACACGGCTGCAACATCAGGCATGATTACTTGCTCTCCTCGATCAAAATCATCATCTTCATACTAATAAATTTGATTGCCAAAAATAAGTAGAAATAAGAAAGATTTCAAAAGTCATAATTTACTTACTCTAATATTATTTGTGTATCGTAAAGATGACGCCATATCATTTAAAACATAAGGTCTATGTTGTTTTCTCAATTTCTGCTGTGCGTACATGGATGGTAAGGTGCTAGTTCCTAAACCTTTTCGTTTTTCTTTTCTTGTGCGACTACTCCGAGACCTTGTACTTTCTTTTGGTTTATCGTCAGGACCTCCACCACAGTAGCATACAGAACTAGCAGCTTTCTAATTATTAAACATATTGTGTTAAAAAAATGTTGAATATAAAAATTTGATTGAATTATTGATAGTACTTCTAAAAGATAAGCAACAGGGTCTGGCAAATTGAACTCTCGAACAACTCTTAGTCTTATTTGATGATTGATTTCTTGTCGACTAGATAAAGGCAGTGATATTGCTCGTTGGCAACCAGGGGCAGACCTCAGTTTCTGGTCACGTTTAACCATAGCGTTCATGGTTGATACATCTGGTGCTGGATACAAATTATTGTTATTAAAAACAACTGAGAGATTTAAAATAATATATTATTATTTTACTTGGTATTGAAGCTGTTAGAACATCAAGAGATGAAAGACCATATGATGATGGAGTAGGTTTTTCTTCAATCATATACAGAGTGTCAGGTATACCATCAGGCATATATCTTGTTCGCCGTACTAGCTCCTCATCCTCTCTTAACATCTGATCTTCAAATAATGACTAAACCAAACCAAAAATCCATTTAAATTTTAAATGACAAATTCTATTAAAATAAACTTTAATTAAATATAACATATTAATATAAATATCAAATTACATTGATGACGAGTAATATAATTATATTACTTGTCATCAAAGACATTTGAATTAATTTAAATTTTAAAAAGTCTCAAATTTTCAATGTAATATAATTAACATTTCAAATTAGTTTGAGTTCAAGTAAGAAGTTTATAGAATAGAACCGTTTATTTTAATTTGAATTGCAAAAACAAAAATAAATCATGTTAAGTATAAAAATATCCAAGTTACATGACCTAACCTGAGGTTTAGTCTTATCAAATTTTTAAGTACTACCCAATAAATAAGTCAGTATTTTTTATTATTTATAATAAATTTGCCGAATAATATAGTTTGATACAAATAGCTTTCTTTATTTATGTCTTTAAAGTTAATAATGAACAATACCTAAAATTGTCAATTGGCAAACTAAATCTCCGTTCTATTATTAACTTACTTTAATTTCATCATAGTATGGAATAAATAATCTAGGTCGCACATAAAGCCCAGATGGATGTCTAATCCAAGCATTGATTCTGGACATATGATGAGACAATATTGGTGAATCATTACCAATCATATGGCTTGGAGGTGAACTCACTAAACCTCTTCTTATTGCTTGGGTCAAAGTCTCATGTTCTGTGGGGATAACATGATCCATACGAACCAAAGGTAAGAGTTCAGATAATATTTCACGAAGTTCTACATCACTTAAATCTCGTTTCTTTACACCTTTTCGGCTAACAGAATGTGTTGTTTGACTAACTAAATTTGGTTCTGAAATCAATTGAATAAATTATAAATCAATTACAAAGTTTAAACACTTGATATTTAATACCTCTATCTTCCATGCGTCTAATCAATTCATGTTCACCCCATTTGAGAACTGCCTGTAAAACTTCAAGCTCACTTGTTTGCAAGAAATTACTCTTTAAACAGTCTATTAGATGAGCTTTGTCAAGTTGGTACAAAACAGGACTATTAGCCACTTGAGAAAATTCTTCACGTAAAAAATGTTTAGCTTGACGATGAACCCATGCTGAACCATGTGGCAAACTTCCCCACCTATTAATAATTTTTAATATTATTAAATAATAAAATGAATATATCAACATCATAATATTTAAATAAAATTACCTAAGTACTCCTGGAAGTGACTCTAGAGAAAGCCATTCTAGGATAAGATCCTCACAACCCTGGGATACTATTTCTAATTCTAAGAAACGACCAATCTGATACAATTCCATAGCTTCGTCTAAAGGACTTGGCCTAACACGTCCGGTATTAGTTAAAGCTTCAACCTAAAACAAAATATAGTCTTAAGTATTTTTAGGCACATAATAGTGTATAACAGTGTACTATATTTACTTCACTTAAACTGCCAGCAGAAGAACCACACCCAGAACCCCTTAGTATGAGAGACAAATCAACTGTATCTAAATAAATTGCATGTAATAGGACTCTTGCATATCGTTTTGGAATAACTGATTCATCTAGCACTATCCTAAAATATTTGAAAAATAAATAATATATTAATAACAAATAGTTGTTGATAAATAGGTATAAAAATAGTTGTTCAAACCTTGTAGGAATGTGTAAAGCTCTTTCAGTATGTTCTTCGCCAGATTTAGTCCTTCGTTGAATAAGATTTCTAAAAAATGGTGACCTAGCACTAAGAATAGATTTATGGCAAGGCAATTCCAGTTTAGGTTGAAAACCATATTCAGATCCAGTAGATTCTGGCCTTCGATCTGAATATCCTTCTGGAATAAACACAAGTGCAGCATCTGCATAGTCACCGGTTTCCAACAGGTATCTTAAATCATTTTCTAACACATTTGGTGTACCAAGTTCATCACCAAGCCTCCTCAATAATGCTAAGTCTATATCTCCATCTCTTGGAGCTATATCGCCAGTGTATAAAAAACGTAATAATGCTGAAAACATTTCTATATCCACACCAGGTGTCCTCAAATCTAAACAAATACGCGCCCCGTAACCAGGACATCCTAAAAGCAATTCACGGAAATATGGACATCTAGCTGACAGTATTGCTCTATGTACTGGGAAACAAACACCACGAAAAATGAGATCGACGTCTGTACAATACTTATGGTCATATAAAGTAGACAAATCTTGTTTAAATGTAGCAGCTGGAGGCCTTGCTAATTCTGCTTGTACAGACAAGTCTTTAAGGGCAGCCAATGCTTCATATTCTTCAAGTAAAGCAGTAACTTCAGCTGGTGACCAATCGGATATCAACTCTCTTATGATACGACCATGATTACACACTTTGGAATACCGACGACGCTTAATAAGCTTCTTTCGCAAAGTAGCAAAACCAGACATACGCATCTTACGTCTCTCCCTAAAGATATAGGTAAATATAAAATTAAAGTAAGAACTAAGAACAAAAATATTTAAAAAAAAAATATTTATACTTACTTTATAATAACTCCTGGATAATTTTGAACCTCCACATTTGGATATTCATTGGAAGAAACCCCGGCACCCATTCTGTCGTCTGGCCAAATCCTTTTCGTCATCCCATCATATGACCAGACACAAGGTAACAATGTGAAACATAAGTTCATCACATAGTTATTTTCTCTAAAATATACAAGTTAATTTAATGAGGAAATACATTTCTGGCTAAAATATTAATTGAAGAAAGCTTTTGTTCCTTTCTACTTATTATCATATTCAAATACTCTACACATTTTTAATAAACATAACTTTATGGGGTTAATAGCAATTCAACAACATATTCCAAATTGTATATGAATTTAAAAAACCTATTTACTTTATATTATATTATTGTTCAAAACAATGGACTAAGGAGGTAATTATTAGAAAGTATGGCTATAATTTACTCAATTTATTCAACTACCTATTGATAAAGTATACAATGAAAGTGTAATATTTCAAATAAAATCATAGTTTCATAGTACATTATATAAATTTAAATGATAAATTAATTCACATTCAAATTGGGTCAAGTCAATAAGTTATTGTATACAAGAAACAGTAGTAATAACAACATAAGGAAATCAAACAATAATTATATTTTGTATTATTTTAAATCAAAACATTGTATTAATATTACAAGTTCACAAGAAACAAAAGAAATATGTAGTCAAAAAGTACTTCTTGAATAGGTTGTTTTGGGTGTCTAAGAAAAAAATTAGCCACTTACATAAAATGGCCCTTTCTTGACCTGCATTCGTGAAATCATCGAGATGAATTGCACTGTTTGAATACTTTATAAAACTAAAGCTTCAGTAGCGATAACTATTTAAGTGAAATTTTAAATCAAAACAAAATTTGTAATGGAAAAATCTGAGATCTGAATACAAATTTTGCATAGCTGAGAATATTTTGTTCTATTGATAAAAAAAAAACATCAACACGCCTACAAAAATGGTTATAATGTCTTTGGAAAATAATTTCCTTGTGAGAACATAAAATACAAATACCCACGAAAATGAAAATATATTAATTATTCTAAAACTAATAATTTCACAATTTAAAAGTATTGTGATTATACGACAATTTCATCTATACCACAATTTAGTTATATTTAAATTTAATTTGACAGTAACAGTTAAGTATTGTATTTTAACTGAATCAAGATTGCATAATATGAATCATGATTCGTATTCGCTTTGGAAATCCCAATCAAACCAAACATATTGATAACGAAAACATGTGATTAAAGATTAGACAAAACACGCTGATAATTAGAATGATAACTTCCATTTTCTGTGTGTGAATGGTAGTTGGGAAATTTAAAATTTTGTAGTTTACTTTTACTTGTTTGATGTTAAAGTTGTAATGTCAGATTCATGGTTACAATAAATACAGTGTATTAAGAAATATTCCTTATATACACCAAATTACATTTTTTTTTTTTTTTTTAATTGATCCTGAGCCCGGCAACTGTGGACATTAGCTATTAGTAGGTACTGTAGGTTTTTTGTATTGATGGTTTTGTATGTTTTTTGGTACGGTAGGGGGGAACACGTGTGTGTTTGTTTTGGCAGAATTTCGAATGGGGCACCCGTAGGTTTCTGCCATGCCCCGGGGGTGGGGGATGGCAGCACTTGCTCTCCGGTCACCGCGACTTGTCCGGAGAAAAATGCCGCCCCCGGTGGCCGAGGATCGAACCGCGACCGGCTGAGTCGCAGCGGAAGAGTCAGACCACTCGGTCACCTCGTCCCCCAAAATTACATTTTATTTATTTAGTTGTTCACGTTTTATTCAATCAAATACTAACAGTTGTAAGTATTTTAACAGATTAAATTACATTGTATACAAACTAAATGTAAGTTGTACTAAACTAATATTATGTATTGGTTGATGAGTGCAAAATTTAAAAAAATAACACATACGTGGTTAGGTAATTTGTTTATAGCCTTTGAAATTTGAATCATTAATTTGTTGTTTAAATTATTTTCATTGGTTGTATAGTGAAACTTTTGTATTCCTACTTATATGTTGTAATTTTACAATAATAGGTAATACAATTATTAAATATAACCTAACTACTGCAATTTATATTTTAAATTATTTATAAATTAGATACTGTCATTGCCTTGTCTTTACTCTGTTCAAGTTAAGAAACATCTATTTGTCACCCCCACCCAGTCACTCATCTGTATAACTGCCGTATAGTATTGCAATGCTCTTACGCATAAGTCAGCTGCCGACTACTTCTCTTAACTCAAACAGCGTATATAGATTCGTAAAATCTTAAAACAAGTAACAAATGTATGAATAACTTATAAGAATTTGACTTTTTTTCTTTATTTTTTTTCCAGTAAACATAATCAACACATAAGTATTATGGTAAAATTTATAATATATATTTTATTTTATTTTTCAACTGTAGATACATATTAACTATAGTTCTAATTTTTAGTTACAACTGAAGAAAATACATAATTTGTCACACAATACACTTCTTAATATTGTAAACAAAATCTTATAAGTTATTGACCATTAAAAATAAATTTCTAATTTCCAAAATATAATATGTTGAAATTATAGTTAAAATAGTTTTATTTGTATCGTAAAAATGTTTTTCCCTTGGTGAATTTCAAAAAAAATACTATAAATTGTTATTTGTTAATATTTAAAAATTCTCGTTTAGAAAATATTATACTCCTCTAAAGTTATTCACTAAATTAAATAATATTGTCTGGATTATTAGTCATTAATAAGTATTACCTTACCAAATTTAAATTAACCAGGTAACCCACGGAGGAATAGCTTAATATTCTTTACTATTTAAAATATTGTAGTAACGGGTTAACCATACGGCTTACATGAAATACAGAAAGCCTAGCTAAAAATAATAAACAATTCATAACAGGAAATCCCATTTTTTAAGTTGTTTTTAAATATTACAATTTATTTATTACTATAATCAAAACATTTTCCTTACAGCTTAAAATGTGTATAAGGCAACATTTTTATATTTAGAAATATGTATTGTAAAATTGTAAAATAATATTTTTAAAAAAAATGTTGTCCACCAATGAGTTTGGGCGGGCAATGTCTGTACACAATTTTGACCCAATTTTTTTTAATTTAAAAAATCCAAAATTATGGACATCTTTCAATCAATAAAATTGATACATTACTATAACACTATATTATCTTTGTCCATCTATAGTACATATTTATATTAAATTACTCTAGCATTAAATTATGTCTATAGTTATTTAAAATGGTATTTGGACGTTTCCTCCCTGTGGATTTTAGAGATACCGGACATTTCCTCCCTGGCCCCCTTTACAATATTAATTTTTTTAGGTTTTTTGGTTTTATCCAAAATATACGATCATCATATCGGCATCTTTAACAATTAATATAATTATTTAAAAAAATCTTGTAAACAGTACATTTATTTATTTGCATTTGTTATTTTTATATTGTTTAATATTTTGAATATTTATATTAGTGCATTTTGTTTTGGCAATAGTGTTATTATGACTATTTTGAATTCTATTTAAATATTAATTAAATCATTTGAAATTTATATGGTTAGGCCCATCTATTGGTATATTATTGTTTAATTTTTTATCCGAGGATAAATTGTCCAGCTAGGGTGGGAAACCTTCAATGATTAAGGGGGGAACGTCCTAGATTATTTTTAAATAATTCAATAAAAATGCATGGGATAAAAACCGAATTAATATGTTTAGTTCTAAAATTACATACATTATTTTTTTTAAATATGTATAATGCTTATTAATTATGATACTTACACAAAAATGTAAACTTATTTGTCAGGAATAATATTACCCAAATTACTAGTTAGGTATAACAATTTGTCAAGTATTCACAAAAATATTAAGTAGGTATGGTATGGTACCTACCTGTTGTTGAAGTTTGAATATTACAAAACACGAATAATATTAATTCAAATTATCTTATTTATTATCACAGAAAGTAATTAAATTTATGTTTTTATTACAATTGTTTTCATGGTTACCTTAGGTAAAGGTAACCTATTATTGTACCTAATGAATAAAAAAAGTGAACATTTTATTGCTACTTAATTGTTTAATTGTTTAATTTATAACCTTGTCTTACATCTATTTTTAAATTAATTAAATAACAATACAATAAAATGGAACATAGATTTAGGTGGGTCACTAAGGCAGCAGCTATGATAAATCATTGTATTAGGACAATAATTCTGAGCGGAGTTTGGATTTTTATTGTATTTATAAATAATGTGTATACCTATAACAATTACAATGTTATGATCCAAAAATATAAATCAATTTATTTGCGATTTCTAAGTGAACTTATATCAATGTTTCCTGAGTATAATTTTAAATTAATTATTGTTTACTTTTTCAGTTTATACAATGTTAACTCCAAATTTTGAATTGGATCAAACTGATGATTATTTAATTATAAAAATCAAAGCTAGATTTGCTAATGTCAATGATACAGAAGTTGATGTTAATGGTACTCAAATCACATTTCATTCCTCACCATATTATTTACGTCTCAATCTACCTGGAGAAGTGGAAGAAACTGATTCTTCATCTGGGTCTTATGACTGGAATTCATATGTTTTTACTTTTACATTAAATAAAGTAAATCCAGGAGAACACTTCCCAGATTTAAATCTTATAAACAAATTTCTAGCACCAAAAAAAAATACTCAAACAATTAATCCGTCTATTGAAGTTCTTAATGAAAATTATCATGATGATGATGACAGTGTTATAGATTGTAACTTTTTACAAAATCCTGTATCGGACGACAATATTAACTGTATGAAATATGGATTTGCTAATCAAACTCAAAATGGATTTAATAACTTTTCTGATGAATTCTTTGAAATTATTGAAATTAAAGATCCTGACAATTTAAATCTTGGAAAAAGAAAATCGCTGCAAATTGCATCAGAAATTTCAGAATTTTCTGATGATCATTACTTAGCAGATTTGATGACTGAACCCGATGAACTTAAAGATATATTAAACTTTAAACCATTTTGGTTTGATACAACATGTACCTTAAACGATTCTCATACAGATATTTTAAAATCATTTGGTAATAAAGAATACTT